CTGGGAGTTGCAGTCCAAATCTCCTGAGTAACCCAAGGTTAAGAACCACTGCTCTAGAACATTATGTTTTAAGAAACAAAACAGTTACTGAGGATGATTCTCTAGGAGAATATTATGTTTTAAGAACTCACGGTTGCCAATAAAATGGTATTCCTGTGTAAAGTTCACCACTCCCTCTGTTACAAGTACTACAACCTATTTAATGTCATGCCATCATTGTTCTGGCATTAACTGACACCTGTTTCACATCACTGGCTGTGACTGGCAGGAGCAAGACAACAATGTCAGACACCAAGTAAGTGCTACATGTTATGAGGGAGATGTAAGAACCCAACACAAGGGCCTATTTGTAGCAGCAGTCCTATATTTGTTATAATCAATATTTTAAAAGCTTCAACCTTAAAGCCATGTTCTTTCCACTTAATATCACTCAGTTGTGGCTAATAATTGTTTCAACCATTATGGAAAAGCAGCCGCATGAAGGTTTTATGTTTCTGCTGCAGCAATAATGACTAATGAGGGGCACATGCTTCTTGACCGTGCATGATGTGTAAAACCCTGGGGTCATGTGGACTGAGATGCACAAGTCCCCATTTTTCTGTTAAATTAGCTATAAGAGATCTGTGCCTAGTGCCTGTCTAACTGTAGTCTGTGAGATGTTCCTCCAGTCATTTTATAGATGCCTCTGCTAAATCCTACTTCACATTTCAAGAGGGAAGTGAAAAACTGGGAATGTATTTAGACTTGGAGAAGAGAAAATAATGTGGCTATGATGAAATCCTGGAAGCCTCACGGTTATGGAGCAACATGAAGTAAAAGACCAAACTAATTAATACTAATCTTTGTCATTCTACCAGCTATATTCTCACCTCAAAAAACTCCAAACATTAAAGATTTCATTTAGCAATGTAGTCAGATCCAAGCCACAACATGCATCATTCAAACCACCAACGAAAACAGTCCATCTGACTATGGAAAGTTCCCCATATAATTCATCTGATCATGGAAAGTCCCCCATTTTAACCGATAATTCATCCTTTTCACACTTCATATACCACCTTTTTAGAACACACACTGTTGTTGCATTTTTGTTACCATGCTGGTTTGTTATTACAGTGGCTTCCTAACAGAATTACAAGCCATTGAGACTTCTGTGCTACAAGCCAAACATCCAAGGCACAAGATGGACACTCAAACCTATCTTAATTTGAGCATGGAAAGTATGCGAAGTCAAAACAGTTGTGGAGCAATGATAAATTGGGAAAACAATCCGTTTCACCCACCCTATCAAGACGTCGGTCAAGGAAATCCAGAAGAACATTGACAGCATCCATGTTAACTCCCATATATTCCAGTGACCCTGGATGCACCTTGGGGGCCAGCAAGACATCCAGACATTTGAGAGGCAGATTGCCTAGGAGGTTGACTGTGTGGCTGAACACACAACATAAGGTGAAACAGAGAAGAGTTAGTAGGCTATGTTTGTTTTGCTTAAACCTATGAAACACTATGATTGAAATCGCACTGCATAGCATAATATGTTGCAACCAGAGTAGCTCCACTGAATCATTGGACATTTGGTGAGTCAACTTCTCTGTAGGCTCTACTGATTCAATGGGTCTACGTATGTCGCTACTTAGTACACTAAGCAACAGGATTTCAAACAGCATGAGAACAAGATCCTAACCTGCCCTTTCCAGGCACTGGAAAAAGGCAGCTTAAACACTACTCAGAATATCTAATAGCAGTGTATTCTTCTCTTTGTATCCATCTTCCTTTACTTCTTCTATTGTTTTCATCAGTCCTTCAGATTATTTATCCATTTACTATATTGGATTTCTATCCCGCCCATCTAGACCAAAGGTCTACTCTAGGTGGTTATAAGCTCGTTTGCTGTCAAACCTATTCTTTCTAAAGTTCCATGTAAACTGCTGTTGGTGTATGCCATTAAGTCACTTCCGTATGAAGGCATCCCTAGGAATTAACCCCTAGGAATAAATGACTTCCAAAAGGTCCTTTCAGTTTTCAATTCAGACTCAATAAAGGAAGTCACAGCTTTGAGTGTGCAATAGCTGAGCATGGTGGTTAACAAAAGGACCTTCTGGAGGTTACTAATTTATAAGGTTGCCAGTCAGATGTAACCTGATAGCATGTAATAACAACAAAAGGTCCAATCAGCTTATTTAGGATTCTAAGTCAATCCCTCTCCTATTACTTCTGCCTCTTCTTCTACTGTCGCCAACTTTTCAAAGCATTATTGCCTTTTCTAGGGAGTCTTGTCTTCTAATGATACATCCAAAGTAAGATAATCTCAATTTAATCATTTTAGGTTCTAATGATAACACAGGCTTGTTTTTATCCATGCATATGGATACACAGTGGTGCCCCGCTAGACCCTTACCCCGCTGAACGACGAAATCGCTTGACGATGACTTTTTTGTGATCACAATTGCAATCGCAAAATGATGTTCCCTATGGGGGATTTTTGCTTTACGTTGATTAGGTCCTTGCTTCACGAACCGTATGTTCGCAAAACGATGATTTTTCCGGCTCCGCAAAATGGCTTTCCTTTGCAAAATGGCTGGCTTCCCTTCGCAAAATGGCTGTTTTCCGGACAGAAGCTTCGCAAAACAGCAATTTTAAACAGCTGATCAGTGGTTCTCTATGGGTGATCTTCACTGGACGATGAGGTATTTCCCCACTGGAATGCATTAACCTATTTTTAATGCATTTCAATTGGGTTTTTTTTCGCATGACAATAATTTCGCTGTACAGAGATTTTAATGGAACGGATTATCGTCGTGATGAGGGATGCCACTGTAATTATTATCCAAATTACTTATAAACTAAATAATACACACCTGGTGTAACTGAACCCTGATTTTTGGACACTTTATACAAGCCACACAGCTTTTTAACAATTGTTTTCTGGTGTTAAGCCCATGTTAGTAGTAGCATTTTCTCCTCCATCCAGAAACTATCCTGGGATCAAGGCCTTTTACAGGATAATCACCTATGAAATTCTTCTGTCCGATCCTCACCATCTGCTGAAATCATCAGGCAGTGACGGAGGAGAGCACCGAGGCGTCGGTATAGAGCAGCATCTTCCTGGCCCCAAAACATAAGGAAAAGCCTGATTACAAAAGGAAAACTCATGCCTCTTTTGCACAGCCTTTTGCTTGCAACAGACCATGTTTTCTGAACAAACCCAGAACAGAATGTGCTTTGGGACATCTGGATCCAAAGAAAAACTGCTTACAAGGAATCTCAGATATCTATGTAGCAAATTATTATGCTCAGAGCACAGCCCCTGCATAAAAATTAGAGCTGCTTGTTAGCATCTGGGAGATGTGTGAGCACAGCAACAGAAGGAGAACTGAATGAGGCAGTGTGAAACTGTTCAATCCTGTTTCAGCTCCTTGCCTTATCCTTCTATCCCTGTGTCTCTCTTACAACAGTATTCTGTAGGCTTCAACTTCCCTCTCTTTTCTTTCAAATATTAAATTCTGCAGAACTATAAAACTAGGCAGCAGAATTATAGGTTTAGAATCAAATTAATCCATGCATAAGTAAGGCAAACTTCCAAAACAGAATGTAGCCAGGTTTGAGTTTAAAAACTGAAATAAGATGCAAATCATAGCAATATTTAACTCTCGTGTCACCCTATGCAACACTTTCCACTTCCTCCAGCTATTCCACATCCTTCAATGGGTCTTCCTGACCCTTCCATCAAATATATTTCTTGTCCAGAAAGTGAAAGAGATCAGCTTCCTAGGGCGTAAGCCACTCAATTCACCATTAACATCTCCATCAAGTTAGGGTATCCTCCAGATGTTTTTGGGCTACTACCAGCTCCAGCTCAAAACATCTAAAGTGCCTCAGACTTTTGAGCTGTGTCTTAGAGAAATACAAGCAAGTGTGACATCACATTCTAGAAATGAACAATCATACTCGTACCATGACCAACCATTTTCTACTGTGGTTGCTGTAAATGGATTTGTGCATTTAGCACATGCAACTAATAACACAGGCACGTTTATTAGCAGGGCGGAGCGGGCGCAGAGGAACAGAGAGTTGGTGAATACTTAAAACTTTCCCACAGTCTCAAACACAAGGGAATTCAAGCTACAGGAAGCATGGATGAAAAGAAGTAAATAAAAACAGATTCAGAAAAATGGAAAACCAAATGCCACATCTGGGTGCCTTACCTCATCCACTTCTCTCTTGTTGGTATCAAAAGTGATGTTGAACAGGATTTTCAGGATCTCCATGGCACGCTCTGCCTCCTGACGAGGTAAAGGCAGGGATGGGTCCTCTGCAGCAACAACCTCATGGGGGTCTATCCACTTCACTCCCAGTGTAAGTTCCAGAGTATCTGTCATCAGGCCAATACCCCGCAGTTCCTGTGCCAGCTGCTGCCGGATGTCCAGCCGGAGTGCCGTCAGCAAGAAAAGGAGACGCAAATCAAAGAATTTTATGTCGTGAGGGAGGTTCCTCTCGTTGTAAAGTTTGATGCGATCCGTGAGGCCCACCACGAGCCGGGCTTTAGAGGTCAGCTCCTGAGCTTGAGGGCTGCTGAAAACAATGTTACACAAGCACTTCAGTGCCTCCAGGATCACATCCAGGTCTGGGATCTCTCGAATGGGATCTTCCGTGTAGTCAATCCCAGCGTGCCTGGCTAGTGTCTTCAGGCCTTCCATAGTTGAGAAAGGGCCAAGGCAGTTTTTGTCCCGGGATAAGATTCGGATGCTTTCCAAACATGTGACCTGGCATGATGGTTGGAGCTCCCTCTCCAAGAACTTGATCAAAAGTGTGGCCAGTTTCTACAGCATTAGGGAGGGGAAAGGAGAACCATAACAAACCGAATAGCAAAAACAATACGTTTCTATACAGGTAAGCAGCTTTAGTCCATGTCTGGATTTGCAAACTGCAGAAGTTCAGTAAAATTTGTTATACCTCAAACTTGCATAGTCCTCTCAGTGCCTCAACTCTATGTCCATCTGCACTGCAAGCGGTATTAATACAGTGTCCATCTGTTAGTAGCACTACTAAAGACCAGGAATAGCAGACTCTGGTAGATGCATACTTCCTTCTACTGCTATTTTTCAGCTCTTGTCTTTAGGCAGCCACAATAGCACCCTCCAGCATCAAGAGGCTTGGATAAAGTTTGCAGATGTACAAGAACCCAAACAAGAACCATCTACCCCCCCAGAGTGAGTACAAGAAAGACACATGCAGAAGCACCACCTGACAGCAATAGCTATGGCCACAACTACATGGTCAAAGACCTCTCTCTCTCTCTCTCTCTCTTTGTGTGCGTGTGCGCGCGCGCGTGTGCATGCGTGTTATAAAATGGGTGAATTTGAACGAGTTTTTACCGATCTCATGATGCAAAGGCTGACTTGAATTGGTCCACCCCTTTTTGCTGTCAAAGTAGTTTTTTCTCTGCTGCTGGGGGGCTTCTACTTTTTCAAGCTAGAATGATTTGAATGTTTTCCCCCCTGTGTGGTTATGATATGTTCCGGTAAAGGAGGGACATGTCTGTAGGTGGTGTTTCAGTGATGTACGCGACTGGGATGCTGATGTTCAGAACCAGGGGAACACATCCCTTTTCTCTCTCCTGAACGTCTTACAATTCTTCAATTTAAAAAAAAGAATCTTACATTTATATTAGTGCTATACCACCTTATCACTGGGTTCTTGTTATTACTATTTCCCATATTTATGCCTCATAAAAGGATTGGTAGAGGCAGGACCAGAGGAAGAAAGGAAAAAAGGGGTGTGGGCTGGAATGTGAATCCCATTGCATCCAGTATGAACAGTGAAATCCTGAGTTAATCCACAGCCCCTATGTGATTTCAAACATACTGTATTACAAGCTGTGAATCAAAGATGCATCACTCCAATATGGCTTTTCATTGAGGTCATATCCTTAATTCAGGCCTTTCTGGATAATCATAAGGGATGGGAAGGACATCTTTGCACTCTGGCATAAGCATGCAACCTTGAGAAAGCCTTCTTGAACAAATATGGAACTTTATTGATTTCTCTGCTTATGAAGCATGTGTCTGCCTATCTATATGTTTGAGGCAGGGTACATATGGCACTTCAGGCACAGGCGGACTGCAACTCCCACTATCTCTCACCACTAGTTCTGTTAGCCAGGGCTGATGGGACATGCAGTCCAACAACATCTGGAGGCCCATGCCTCCCCTTTGTGAAGCTGTAATCTAGCCTACTTTTCAACTCAGTGGTGTTTGGGACAGGAGACAAACTTAAAAAATGAAACAATACTGTAATATAAATATATATAAAATGATTTCAATAATACTGCTTGTTGAACATGAAAGTATTGATTTAAAATAGTTAAATATCCATTTAGTAACTAATTATTTGTATTAATTATATTATCATATATATTAATACTAATAATAACAAAATAATGGAATATATTATTTAGAATAGATTGGTGGCCACTGGGATATACATGCCTTTCAAAAGGCACATTTTAATGTGCATGTAGTTATAAAAAGCTTGTGAACACCTCTGACTTAAGTGTTTTTGCTCATCTAATTGGCTTAGTACTAACGTGTCATGAGGCAGTTCAACTCTTAATAGTTACTGTTTCTCTGAAGGAAACATTTTATCTCAATAAGTACCTTGTTAGGCAAGTAAATTATTTCCAGCTAATAAAAGGCGAATTTCTTGTATTTTTAAAACTTCCTGTATGACACACAAACAAATACATTCTTGGGAGTTACAGCTGGATGTTAAGGTATGTAATGTGAACATACCAAAACATTTATACTAGCTTCAGTCATGGGAAGTTCACACATAATCAAGGAACAGGTAGGATGTGTATGGTCAGTACCAGAAATCTGGATAAAGTCAATTGGATCAGGATCATAGAACAATAAACATCTGCAGAATAAGGGCAGTCTGTGCATGAATATGACTGAGCCCTGATCTCATAGACACAACTCCACTCAGAGAAGCTAATTAATTAATCTTAGAACTGCAGAGCTGGAAGGTACTCTATGGGTCATTGAGTCCTGCCCCTGTCGAGGAGGTATAGCAGGGAATTAAACTCCTAAGCAAGGACTCCACAGTCAGATACCTAAACCACTGAACTATTCAGTAGTTCTAATCAAGGACTTCCTTTGATTAAACTACTAGGAAATGGATCAGGCAGAGCTTATCTGGCAAGGCTAAGCTTCATTTTCTGTACAGCCTTCTTATTCCTCAAGAAGTTCAGAGGCGTTGGGAGGGAGGCTGTTATTTTTTGCCTCATCAAAGACAGCAGCCCCAGCAGCTTCCGTCTCCTGCCTTTTAAGAGAGAGCTCCAAGTGCATGAATCACCAATTCTCTTCAATGCATCTTCCAAGCCTGAGGTGACTCTAGCCTCCCCTCTTTTACTTAACACTACAGAATTCTTTTATCTCCAGTCATTCCTCTCTGTTTAGTGGTCCTGATGGACTGCTCTCCATTCCTCTCTTGCCCCATTGTTATCCACCCTTCTTCCACTTTCTGTTCGGATTTGATATGCCACCTCTGTCACTTGAGTTAGCTACCCCTGTAGTGTTGCCTCATTCCCAGGCAACCAATCATGTCCATTGTGTCTGATGATGGTGAATGTGGAGTCAGGAATCCTGCTGAGGTTCCAGTAATGCAGTGCATCTTGTTTGTTTGTTGTTTGTTTGTTTGTTTGTTTGTTTGTTTTTATTTATTTATTTATTTATACCCCGCCTATCTAGTAATTTCGACCACTCTAGGCAGCTTGCCACTTGCTGACAGAGCTCCTGAATGATGAGGTGTTTTTAGCCCATAGAGCAAATTCTGTGACTTCCAAAATTTAAAGGAGAGCCCTGTGCTCTGCAACAGAGCATATTCTATCCATGGAGAAGGGCACAGGTTGCATCCTGGCATTTACAGATCGCAAGACTGTTATCAAAGATCTGGACCTGAGACACTGACAGCCACTGCTATCTGTGACAGACAATAGTGGACAAGAGGAACCAACTGTCTAACTCAGCACAACCAGCTTTATTATGTCTGCATGCAGTAGATCCATGGTGCCTGGGTACCAAAGCATTCCCAACCCCATACACATAACACATGATATTTTTTCTTTTAAAAATTCAATTTAAATTTGTTTTTAATTTCATAAAGAAATACTCATTCAGCAAAAATTAATTCTGTTGTTTTCCGATGGGTAACAGCCCCCCACGTTTAAAATTCATACATAACAAAAGGTTTAATTCTCTACAATAAATAATCAAAGTTTAAGATAGCAATACAGTGGTGCCTCGCTTAACGAGCACACCGTTTAATGACGAATCCGCATAGCGACGCGTTTTTTGCAATCGCTAATGCAATCGCATTGCGATGTTTCAATAGGGAAAATATCGCATTGCGATGATCGGTAAGCGTTTTGCTTACCGATTATCGCATTGCGATGTTTTTTAAACAGCTGATCGTTGGTTCCAAAATGGCCGCCACATCCACAAAATGGCCGCCCACAGCGTTTTCGTGCCCTGCCCTCGCTTACCTGGCAGCGAAAACGGCGGCCGGATGGAGGATTCCCCACATAGCGCTGAGTTTTTCCCCAATAGGAACACATTAAACCCGTTTTAATGCGTTCCTATGGGGTTTTCCCCCCGCATAGCGACGAATCCGGATAGTGACGTTAATCCTCGAACGGATTAACGTCGCTATGCGGGGCACCACTATTAGGGAAACACATGGGAAGATGGTACTAATTTCAGATCCCTGTCTTAAACCAACAATACCTTGAAGTTTCAGAAGGCTGATGCTGAATTTTTGTGACATCATAACTTTTTTAAAAATGTATTTTTTTCCAGAGAACAAGAGATTTTAGGAGAAAGCAATAAAGATGGTTGTTGTAAGTTTTCTGGGCTGTCTGGCCGTATTCTTGAGGTTTTTCTTCCTAACGTTTCGCCGGTCTCTGTGGTCGGCATCTTCAGAGGATAGGTGTCAGAAGTCTGTCTGTGCTCTGGTACAGTTTGTGGGATAGTTGAGTATTTATAGCTGTGAGATCAGCTTTTTGTCCTTTTCAGGAGACTGGGTGATTATGGTGATCAGCACGTTTTTTGTTGTGGGTGTATTGTTGTGATAAGGGAGGAGAGGTAATCTGTCACTGTGATTTGCCAGCCACAGAGACTGGAAAAACGACAGGAAGAAAAACCTCAAGAACACAGCCAGACAGCCTGGAAAACCTACAACAACCATTGGATCCCGACCATGAAAGCCCTCGAGAATGCAAAGCAATGAAGAGTTGAGGGGGCATACGCCCTCCTCTGTTTCACATTTAGGATCTTAGTTTGAGTAGGCTGTGGACTCCTGTTGTAAGTTTATACATAAATTTAAACGTTTTAAAATTTCTTAACTTGTATATGTTTAAACTGTTTTGAAGTGTGACATTGTTTTTAAATTTATTCTCAACTGTTTCAGGTTGGTTTTTGTTCTATGTTCCTGTGTTATGACATGATATAGGGCCTGATCTTAATATTTTTAATAGACACTCTTTAACCAGCACCTTTCCCTAGAAGTAGATTTAATTCCAGTGAGGTTTATTCCAGCTGCTGTTAGTGTGACTTCATAAATCCTGATGGTCAAACAGCATATTATGTAAAGCAGATCTCAAAACATCAGTGTTGAAGCTAGCCACTTTTGTTTTGAATAAAAAGCCGACACAGAAGAGGACAGGCGGATTTTAGTCCCCCCACCTTTCATTATTTGGGAGAAGTCCCAGTCTCTCAGCTCTCTGTTTCTGCTGAAATAAACACAACAAAACAAGGATGTACCTTCCTTTCTTCCTGTTCCTCATCTTCAAATGTAAAACATTGCGATTTCTGGGAATGTAAAGGAGAAAACAAGAATGAACTGAGGAAATGAACTGATTCTGATTCTGAATACACAATGAAAAAAACATTTAATACATGTCAATCAATCAGTTTCTTTAAAGAAAGCCAACAAGTGAACAACAAAAGGAAAAAGATAATGCTTAAAATTTATCAATTTATACAGAGATGCTTTCAGTTTAAGGAAGCCTGGGGCCTTTATCTCAAGTTCCTTATAATCCTATGTTGAAGACAAGAGGCAGTGCTGAAAGATTCTTGGGACAAAATTTAAAGTAGCTCATGACAGAAGATATACCACAAAGCAAACATGGGATGTAGTTCTTAAGCCTACATGTGTCTGAAAAGCCTTTTTGAAGCCAACGGAGATCCAATGCATTCTTATGTCTGCAGCTAGAACACTAGGCCTACACAGAAAAGGTTCCCCATGCCCAGAACTTGCAAGAAAAACAAGAAACTATCTACCCTGTAATATGCTGCTGTAAAGCTACCTAATTGCACAGAATTCCTAAAAGAAAAAAGTAGTTTCACTGGAAAAGTGAATGAGTGTCCAAAACTGAGCCTCTACTGACACCAGGTATGATTTTCAGTGGAAAATGCTATGGGGTGAGTATTAAATTCTATCCCTCACAACACAGTCACAATGTAAAGTATGTCTGTCCCCCATGTTTTTCCCCAAAAAGAGACATCCAGAGTTCCCCAGAACATTCACTTCTTAGTCTGTCTCATAAAACTGGTTTCATATTTATGATTCTGCACTTCACAAGCATGGATGACTGCCCCCCCCCAAAAAAAAGTCCAGAAGGAAACCACTGCAAATAATATTTAAGGTTTGATAAAATTTTATTTGAGCATAGCATTCTCAATTGTTCAAAGTACTCTGTGTGTGTAATCCATACCACAACCCATCAATTTAGTTGTCATTGTCCTGCACACTACAGGATTATGGTACGGCAAGAGGATGAAAGAAAATAACTCAGACAAGACCGCCAGCAAGTTCATGGCAAGAGCAAATGTTACATTTGTCACCTAACTATGCATACCACTTCTGGTCATATTTTAGGATGAATATTCTAGTGGCCTGCTAGGCCTCTCACCAATTGAATATGTAGTTTAAATATATCTCACATGGCCTTTTAACTGCAGATTATAATGGAAGATCATAATGGGCAGACCATTTTCTAGACAAATGTGTCTATCATTACTGATCTTCTCATGGAAAGCTCTGTTCTCCATCCCTCCTTGCCTCCTATTTTCCCTTATAGGTGAATTATATTTGTTACATTAGTCAAAAGTAGGATACAAACCAAATAACGATGCAATATGTAACCCCTTTCATAAACTTCCAAGAACCACAGGATCCTACACAACACTGTTTGGAAAAACTCTGCCTAATCAAACACATCCCTGGAGTCCAAATATTAGGTATTTTGTGATTGTTAGAGGGCCTCCTCATACAACCGAAGTGTAACATGGCAGGTTAGAAAAGGAAAAAAAAAACATGAGCAAGATCTGTCAGTCATTGCTTGAGACAGGAATCTGCATTTCTCTCCCCACTCAAGGATTGTTTTAATTTAGGTCTGCTAACAGATGAACAGAGACTAACTAAAAGTACTGTACAAGTTGTTTCCACTTATTGCTCTGATTAAGCACTGCTTTAATCATGCATTGTAAGAGTTCCGTTTATGAGACATAAGAAAATTCTGACTTCATCTATAACTAAGACAAAACTAGATACTCATACCACCATGTTTAAAAAAATCATGTTTGCTATGGGAGGCAAATAACTGGAACACATTACAAACCATCTAATTTACTGAGAAAGGAGTGAGGGGAAAACAGAAAACTTGGCTTATTTTTCCTCAAGTAGCCATACTGTTTAGTGCAGTGCTTTTCAAATGTTCTGCCTTGCTGGAAATGTTTCTGTAACTATCTGTTCACTGAAGAACTAGTGACTGAAATCCTGGCCCTTAGCATAGTAAGTCACAAGCAGAGTCAGCCTATCAAATCAGTGGAGATTTGGTGAATCAACTCCTCTGTAAATTCCACTGATTCAATGTCCCTATTCTAGTTGTGACTTACTATGCTAAACACAAGGATTCTAACCACTTTATAATGTAGATCAGGGGTGTCAAACTCAAATTCATCAGGGGCCGCATCAGCAGTTTGGTCCCCATCAAAGGGCCGGTTGTATCTGTAGGTTAACTTGAGCCATTTTTAAAATGAATTTACAAGTGGTGCCTCACACAACGGGCGCCTTGTAGAGCGATGAATTCGCTCTATGAGGCCGTTTTTGCGATCGCAAATGCGATCGCAAAACGGTGCCCGTATAGGCGGGAAATCGCAGAACGAAGGTCGGTAAGCTGCTCGCTCACCGACCTTCGCTTTGTGACCTGACAAACAGCTGTTCCGCGGCTTCAAAATGGCCGCCGGAACAGCCGAAAGGGGCTGGGGCGCAGCGTTTTCGCGCCCTTGGTAAGCAAGGGGAGCGTGCGAAAACGCTGCGGAAGCCCCGAAATGGCTGCGCGCAACCATTTCGGGGCTTCCGGCAGCATTTTTGCGCACTCCCCTTGCTTACCAAGGGCACGGAAACGCTGCGCCCTGGCCACTTTGGGCTGTTCCGGCGGCCATTTTGGACCCGCCGGACAGCTGATGGCAGCCATTTTGGCGCCCTCGTTGTGCGAGGGGAGGGCACGAAAATGGCTGCTGGCTGCTGGGAAACATCGCACAACGGTGAGTATTCTATGGCATTGGAACGCATTAAACGCTGTTTAATGCGTTCCAATGCCTTTTTGTGTTCCGTAGTGCGATGTTTCCCACAGCGAAGGTTAATCCGGAACGGATTAACCTCGCTGTGCGGGGCACCACTGTACTCCGTGCAGGCACGGAGTAAATTCATTGAAAAAAAAGAGGGGGAGGCTGCAAGGCTGGCGGAGGCTCCGTGGGCCATCAGATGAGGTCTGGCGGGCCGGATTTGGCCTGCGGGCCTTGTGTTTGACACCCCTGATGTAGATGTTTCTGAGATATGTTCTAAGTTAGACAGTCAGTCAGTGCAACACCTGGACAGACTTAATGGTCCCAAGGGAATTGAATACACGGTGAAACTGACCAACATTCTCTCATAGCTGCACACTGCAGAGGAAGATGGTTAGTGATAGGCAGACCCCCCCCCCGGAAAGTTCACCCACCAATACTGACCTACTAATTGAGAAACTCATAATAAAGATTCAGAGGACCTGCAGCATCTCCCAGTGCTCAGGGTGAAAAGCCAGGATGTTTTTGTTTCCCATTTTCCCAAGTGTGTTAGCAAAGAGTAGTTCTTCTCAATTTCAAACCAAGATCTCTCAATTTGTGAACAAGAGATTAGGTTTTATAACTGCTTTACTTGTTTATAAATGTTATTGATACAAAGTATTCTTTCCTTTATGAAGTTTGCTAATCGTGCTTGACTTGGTGGTGTTTACCAAGGCTAGAGGTTTCATATATAGCATCTGAAAATACCGTCCATCTAACGGGATTGTAAAGATCTCTGATATTCCTATCACCTGAAACAAGAGTCACCACTTATAACAATTACAGGACATCTGCCTACCATTAAATGTTTTATCTAAGAACCCTTCAAAAATACTACAGTCCAAAAGCACTGCTATTCTTTTCAGTTTCTTTTTGCAGAAAAAAATGTCAGCAAGAACTACAAGGACTAACAAGTTTTACCTGGCATAAACCTTCAAGCACTGTAATCCACTTCTTCAGATGCATACAGTATAGCCAGATGAACTGAGCTACAGCCTTGAAAGCTTATGCTATGTGAATCTTTTTAATCTTTAAGTGCCACTATACTCCTTGTTTTTTTGCTGCAAGAGGCTAAAGTGGCTCTCTCAAAAGATAAAAACAAAAACCAGAGCTTTCTATGATCTTAAAAGTGCAACTGTATGAAGAAGTTGCTACAGCCCAACTGGGCAGATGTAGCATCGAAGCATTCACTCTGCACAAGCAGGCCCCTCCTCTTTGCTGCTTTCTCAGTCGCTAATTAATGGTGAAAGCAAAGAGGTGGAGCATGGGCCACATTTGTTATTTCTAAGATGATATCAAGACTTTGGAGACAAATTATATTCACTGACAATATCTTTGTGGTAACCATGAACTTTACTGGGCCTCACTTTTTAAAAAAGTATTTGCCATGAGTTCTTAAAATGTTCCAGCATTAATCCCTAACTGTACAGGACAGGAAAAGAACTATAATCATTCTAAGAATACCATCATTACATCAAGCACTGGTGAAGAAACAACATATGACAGTTTGTGTGATTAAAAAGTTCTTTTAATTGTTCCACAACCTCCTAGGCTAGGTGGCAGCCCTCTGCTCATATTGATTTCCTCTACCTGTTTTAAGTGCTATTCTTTGAGAGAGAAGACAGGGGGCTAAATCCCAATTAGATCAAAGATGAGGAAAATCAATAGAATTTATATAAACATTGACTTATCATTCAGCAGCTGATTCAACAGACATCTATACTCTAGTTGAGACAAACAATTGGATTTAGCCCAAACTATATATTTTAAGAAGTAAACAAAAGAGTGACAATGATCTACAAAGAGGTAATGGAATTTTAGGGATTTTAGCAATTTTAGGGAAAAGTTTAGGGATTTATGATATTTCATCCACAAACATTTTTTTCCGTTTATAACCTTGGAATCCCTGTGCTCCAAGGCTCAGTATCCAGCATCTCGCTTTAAAGGGATCTCAGGTTAAGACTCAGAATGGCCTGTGCTTGAGGCCTACAGTGCTGTTGATCATTGGAGGAAACAGTACAAGGACCAACAAGTGGAATTTTCACAGTATATGTCAGCTTCTTGTGAAAATATGCATGCAACCCACCAAGTCACATTTTCCCCCCAAAGAAAACGCCATTTTGTTCTACACTTAGCATCAACAGCTCTGCTTATTTCAAAGCCTAAAACATAATCAATGCAACTGGCTAGAAATTAACACGAGGAGAAGCACACATTCACTGAAGCCGGATTTCAGATTCTTAGATATGCTCATCATGAAAGGATCAGGGCTTTTGTGCAATATTTTTGAGAAAAAACAAGTGGTCAGTTCTTTATCCAGTGTATTCTTAAAACATCCATTTATTTATTTGTCTCCCTCATCACTGTTCAAATGCCATTATCTTGGTTAAAAACCTTTTAAATTATCTTACGCTGCATGTCACACATAAGCTCTTCACGTACAGCATCTCACGGAGATGTGTTTGCTAATACTACACACACTTAATGGTCAGATAGAATTGCTCCATTCCCTTCTGCTGTCAGAAATCTGTCCCTCATTGCTAGTATTTCTTTCTCTGACATGTGCTACTTTGCGCTGTTTGGTCCAATCTCCCCACTGCATCTAATTTTTCCAACAGAAAATAAAAAGACAGATGGCAATCACAAGCAATCCATACTCCAGAAGGTTTAATATCTCTGCAAGCCAAATAGATGCTTGCTCACAGCAGCTAATAACATTTGATCAAAGGAAAGCACAGACCTATGAAACTGGAGACATCACATCAAGAATGGCACCAGAAAGCCTAACATAGATTCTCCATCACAGTGGCATCAGGCAAGCAGCTCCCAATGAACACTCACCTCCTTGTTATAGATCTGCAGCACCTTGAGGACCGTGTCTTGTTCCCCACTTTCTACGGTCTCTAGCAAAGTCCGGAGCTCCATCTCTCCACTGAGTGGAGACAGCGTGGAATGCTATAAATGTGGGGCAGGAGGTTTTGCTGTTCAGCTGGATAATTGCAGATGTGCAGAGGGCTTGTGGTCAGGCAGCTGAGGGGAGAGGGAGGAAAACCAGTGAGACTACCCACTCAAAGCACGGAGCAGATGGATGATCCAAGTAAAACTAGCCAGTTGCTCTCTTGCACACTAATCCTCTTCCACGCTGAGCTTTTTAGCGTTTATTAAATGTCCTCTCAGCACAGCACCTAGCTAGCCTCCCCTCCCCGTCAGAGGATTACCTCTGAATATATAACTGTGCACTGCCGCTCAGTCACATAGGGGCCCCCCCTCCACTTGCTGTCCTGATTTTGATTTCTACACAGAAAAAACCGAGGGCTGTTCAGTAATATGAAGATGATGTATGCACAATACGGACAAACACACACATAGAGATCCTGACCAGATGGTGGTGAAAGCATTTTCAGAGTGCTGGGTGGTTAAAGAACCCAATAAACTTGTCCGCACATCCCAGTATCTTTTGAATGGACCCATATCTCAAGATTCAAAAATCTGAACTTGTTTACAAAACAGAGGGATTTAGGGAAAGACAGCACTGGCTGGCTATCTCAGGTCCTGAACTCTATGATCACTTTTTAATTTTTTTTTTACATTAATATCTTTGTTCAAAATAGTCACTGCAAAGATGGCAGATGTTTAGAAATATTTGTTCCTCTCTAGTATTTGTTCTAAACCAATTCCATTTCATAGTACATGACAAAAGCAACAGTGACACAGCAAGCGGGACCAAAAGACTATGAGCACACAACCCTCCTTAACCCACTCCACATCCAGAGAGCTCAGACTTATAATTTAAACCATTCCATATATAGAGTCTGTATTGGCCTTTGTAACTGGAAAAAAGGCTGGACTAAAGCAGCAAGCTATGTGCAAGACAGAATATAAATATCTGATAAAACTTTCAGAATGCTTTTCCTAGGGGCACTTCTCACTTTACGATCCTTGCCCTCCAGATTTTATAAGCATGTTGAGGAAAACATCTGTAAAACACATACAGCCTGGCTACTATATGCCATACAGAGCAGCTCAAAGATGGTAATTTGATGCATATTTATACTGCTTGGCATTAAGTCTTACAAAATACCAAACACTAGAACACAAGCAATATGAAAATAAAGACAAAAATAGTTCACTAGATGCCAAAATATGTACTTGATTAGTACATAGGAGTGTCAGTTTTTGCAAAATATCAATAGTAGATCCATTTGGTGAATTTTACATTCCTTGTTTTATTAGAACTCAGTTATCAAATTGTAGAGAAAGATATGCAAAGAGGAGAGGAGTTTGAAAGCATAACCAATTCTGAAAATAAATCATATGATAAGAAACAGTACCTATGCACATAGCTAGATAACTGGCTGGATAGCTCAGTGGTCTAGGTGAAGAGCCAGAGGTTGGGAGTTTGATTCCCCACCATGCTTCCTAGGTGAACAGCCAGCCTGTGTGGTCTTGGGCTAGCTGCACAATCTCAGAGCTGCCCCCAGAAGAAGGGGGCCTCTGAGTACTCTCTACCTAGAAAACCCTGCAAAGGGTTGCCAGAAGTCAGAATTGACTTTAAAATTAGATCCTTGAAAACCTGTGGGGTTGTAAGAATTAACACAGCATCTAACCAACTCCTGTTTATTATTCTTCAGACCACAACTTTAGAGCACAGAGATACCCTACCACTTTTTCTAGTGTTTGGTTTTATTCTATAAATTTTTTTAAATTATCTTATTTTCCACTATTGTCTCTGGACATTAACATCGGCCAAGAGCAGAACATGCTAATGTTTCATTTTTTTTTCTGTCATTCTGCCATCCTGATAGGTCTTAAGCAATTTCTGATCTATTCGGAGGCAGCCTCACATACATTGATTTATCCCACAGTATTAGCAGGATAGGAACATAGGCTCTAATTCCAGATCCATTCAAATCCTACTTCAGATGTAAACTTACTTCAGCTATTTTGAATGGATCTGCCAGAGTCTCTGCTGCATTAGTATCATGGCCAACAAGGTTAATCCGAGGCGCGATTAACCTGTAAACTGCTCAGAGTAGTGCTTGCTTTGTATTTAAATCAAATAAGGCTGGCTGGATAGCTCAGTGGTTTAGCTATCTGGCTGCAGAGGCAAGGTTTGGGATTTCCATTCCCCACTCTGACTCCTTTGAGTAGGGCCAGCCTGTGGCCTTGGGCAAGTTTCACAGTCCCAGAAGTGCCCCAGGGAAGAAGGAAACGCTAAACTACTGTACTTCCGAGTATACTCTACCTGGAAAACCCTGAAAAACGTTGCCATGCATCAGAATTGCCCTGATGGCACATGATGATGATTATATCAATCATATGAAACCATAAAAAATACGCAAATTCATTGCTCATGCCAGAGGCAGTTTAAGCATTAAGCTTTGGAAACAGCACAAAGTCTTGCACAAAGTGCTCTCTTGTATTCAGTGTTGACTGGGAACGATGGGCCCACACAATTTTTACACTATCTCTTTTTAATATGGCAGAAATTAGGTTTTGTTGTATTTATTTAATGTAACAACTGCTCATTCACACTATGAATCTCTGAATGTTTCTCCAGTTTTCACCATACAAATTGGCCAATGGGTCATCATCAGGACTACAGTACTTCTCTAATAAACAGGATTTGGCACATTATTTATCAACCCACCATTTGCCGTGGAATAGTAAAGTTTCTTTTATGTTCACAACAGATGATTCAGACAATCCATTTACTACTGAATGGGAAAATCAAGTAAAGAAGTATTGTAACGACCAACTCTTAATAGCAAAATCCTGCTCTCAACATCTACCTTCTTTCCTCATACAATATATAATTACACACTAGGATAAGAATTGAACTGGAAAAGATCCCACAGGTCATTTAAACGCAAGTAAATTACACCACAAATCTTTTGGGGTGCGTGTGTGTGTGAAGCCTGATGTATAAAGAAAATAATGTGTTTCTGAATTGACATAATGTAGGGCCCTTGAACCTGCCAATGTCTTTTTTATACTTTTCTATGCATATCTTATGGCTTGTCACATGAATACACCAGTGCTTTGAAGGCTTGTTTTTGGTACAGGAACTTTCATCTATGGAAGCAAGCATTATCAACAAGTTACAGTTCTTTGAAGAATTATCTATCTCAACCTATGGGCTTCTAATACTGTAGATTATGAAACAAGGTCTTCTATGCTTTCTGAAGTTGCAACAGTTCGAAGTAAGTAAAAACATTTAAAATTAAGGCACACTCCTTGAAACAAGAAACATTTTTCAATAGCAGTCTGTGCTGGCAATTACCACCCCTGGTCTCAGCTTTCACAGCAAATTAACATTAACACATGTTTGTATTTAGGGATTACCTGATTTACTATGTTTTTTCATCACAGGGCCTGACACACATAACAAAAAACATACACAAACACACAAAATTCAAAAGTCTTCATATGCAAGCATGAACCTGCTACCAACAAATATGTAGGGCAGGAATCAGACCATTTTCTGCTCATCAAAGCCATATCCTCCCAAGCTTTCAAAATCCGTTAGAGCTTACACTCATCTAGAATCCTTTTGAAAAACAACCACAGGGTAGAAAGCGTTTTTAACTGTTCAGCCTGTCTTGCCTCCTCTATACCGCTATTGTTCGTACCACATTCGTCTTTTTGAAAACAACATCACGTTTCCACTACAAATCCTATCCCAACAACTCCGGCTATTCTTAATTCATTGCGAAATTTTCAATCGCCAAACCGGTGAGTAGGAGAGTGGAATCGTTTCCTCCTTTTCAACTCAGCCGCCTTCCTGGGGATGCAATTTTCGATCAGGCTTCTCGGTTCATTTCCTGCATGCAGCCACTCTGCCCTCCTCCCTCAGCCCTTCCCAACGCCCGCCGTTTACCGGCCGCAGCGAGCTTGGCTTTGTTGTTGTCGTCCTTACCTACCGGGAAAGCTTGCAAGCACAAAAACAAGAGGACGCCACCGAGGAAACCCAACCGCCGGAGTGCCGCCGATGCGGAGAGATCGTAGCAACGAGAAAAAAAGCCCGATCCCTCGGGGAGGTCCGCCCCCTCTCCCCAAGAGATCTAGCCGAGGATGATGGGAAAACACGGAGGCAAATCGACGCGGAAGCAGGAAATCATGGCACCGGCTGTGTGTGTGTGTGTGTGTGTGTGNGGGGGGGGGGGGGGTCCTCGATCACTGCTCTCCAGCTGTGGGCCGGCCTTGCACGGCAACACGGGGGAGGGTAGGTGGGTTGCACAAAACCCAGTCTGGAAGCGTAGAAAGGTCGGCGTTTTGTTTGGGTCCTGGAGGTAATCGGCTTCCTGAAATCCTCCTCGCGGAAAGCAAGGATATCACTTCAAGGTCTCGTTTTATCCCTCAGTGTCAAAATAGCCTTGTTGGAATTCCGTTCTGCAAAAGCAGTTACACACTCAGATCCTTTTCGTTTCAGATTAACTAATTGGGAATAAACTACACGTCATGGTTTTTGGTTCTTAATCCAGAAGCACTGCAAAACAGGCTTGATTTTTTCCCCCCGCCATTCTAAATTACTTATTCATAATATTTATATGGCGCCTTTCCCCTGACCTAATGGATCCAAGGTGGGTTACAATATTTTTTAAAAATAAATCAAGAGTTAAAACGTAAATAATAAATTAGTCAATATTAAAGGAGAAAAAATTAAACTGATATATTAAAAACTCACAAGTACAAGCAATATTAAAAATGCAAGTAAAAAAAACAGAATAAAACAATGCCTTTAAAAATCCACTTGTCAACCAGTAAAGGAAAGCCTGCCGGAAGATAAATGCCTTCATCTGCAAGCCTGGTCTCCTATGGGAGAAAGTTCCAGAGTCTAGGAAGAGCAACAGAAAAGACCCTCTCCTGTGTCCCCAACAAATGTGCCTGTAAGGGTGGTGGGAGCAAGAGAAAAGCCTCTCCTGATGATTTGAATAGTACCTGGGTAGGCTCGTACAGAGATATATGATTTTTTACCTCTATGTTATCTACAAATGCAGCTCAACGTTCACCACTCCGTAGCTGTATCAGATGGCAACTTGTTTCTATGAATGAGCCATCACAGGAGAAACACCACAGATAAAATTTTCTTCCACGTTGTAACACATCGTAGCTATAAAGAGAAAATACAAAGTACAGAGAAAGTCAGTTATTTACAGTGATGTGTGAGTTTTAAGAATAACAGAACCCACATGTAATTCTGCATGATATCAGGCTGTAAACATCCTGTGGGCCTCAGGCCTTCTTACTTGGCAGGATGAAAAACATCCTTGCTCCAACCACATTGTCGAAGTGTTTGCTATGTGGTAAATGTACTTGAGATTATAGCCTAAATCCTACAACCTTTGAAAGGATATAGCATACAGTATTTGCATGCAAGACTGCTGCCTTTGATACCTGTCTTTTTCTTTGTAGTACAGACCTGTTGCTGGCAATGCCAACAAAATGTGCTATACCTAAAGCAAGAAAATTACTGTTCAATTTATTTGGCTGGAAAAGTGTGAAGAAATGAGATGCACTAGGGGTACATAAAATGTATTAAAAGCATACTTGAGATAAAATGTCAATGTCTGCAAACTGGGAGGGTATAATTATACCAGGTCCTCACATTATGGCAGCAGCTTAATCATTTAGCTTATCATACACTCTATGATGGGACATGGTGGCGCTGCGGGCTAAACCGCAGAAGCCTGTGCTGCAGGGTTAGAAGACCAGCAGTCATAAGATCGAACCCACTCGACAGAGTGAGTGCTCGTTGCTTGTCCCAGCTCCTGCCAACCTAGCGGTTCGAAAGCATGCAAATGCAGGTAGATCAATAGGGACCACCTCGGTGGGAAGGTAACAGCGTTCCGTGTCTAAGTCGCACTGGCCATGTGACCACGGAAGATTGTCTTCGGACAAAACGCTGGCTCTACGGCTTGGAAACGAGGATGAGCACCGCCCCCTAGAGTCGAACACGACTGGACAAAAAATTGTCAAGGGGAACCTTTACCTTTTACACTCTATGGCAACTGTTCACCTTGCACTCATTTATTTTATTTATATCCTGCCTTTCTCCATTACAGGATCCAAGGCAGTTGACAAATACATTTAAAAACAAGTGCAACTGAATGTGGCGGAATGCCCCACATCACACCTGTCCATCATGGGCAGCTCAAGGGTAGGAGCCTATGATAAGAGAGGAGAGGTGGAACCAAAAGAACAGTTAGACAGTTGGTTAGACAGTTAGAGAGAGTTGGAGAAAAGAGGTGGGAGACAGGGAATTGAGAGAGCATTAGGAGATTGAACTGAGAAAGTTAAGACAAAGATTGAAAAATTGGAATGCTAGAGAGGAGTTAAAAAGTATAGTGAACAAATAAATAGTTAAAGAATATTGTTAAAGTGAGTAAAACACATACAACCCAACGTGAAATCAAATGTTATTTAATAAATGATCCCAAACATCTGTGGCTTACATCTGATTTGCATAACAACTATAATACTGTATCAATAAATCTGTTGCATTGGCAGCATGTATCGAAGATGTATCTGTTTAGTGTTGAGTGAATAATACTTGGTGGCAGCGTGAAGTGAGGAAACGCATCCAGAGGGTGGACTTGTATTTAGGGAAAATAAACAAAGGACACTGAGTGGACGCGACACTGAAAGACTTGATAAATTACAGCATTAAAGTAGTACTGAAGTATCAAGATTAAAGCCAATACATAAATAAATGATAAATGGTAAGTATTTTTGTTTTCATCCATCTAACAGTGGAAGATATGTGATGGCTATGTAATATGCACAAGCATGGACACCGATTACATTCTATGGGTCTGTGTTGTTCAAGGAAGAGCAGGAGTGCTCCTTTATTCTTTAATAATGGTGTGGCCCATTTTTCAACCACCAAATACGGTTTTCTCCCAATATGGAAATACAGTGATGGAGATGCTGCAACTGTCATATTCTGAAGTATTAACGGCAGAAGAAACGTTGATATTGAGAAAAGGTCAGGTGGCGAAAGAGATCCATTTTCTCTCTCTTCATCCTGATCAGTATACAAATCTCAGAGACACGGTGGCCAGAATCACCACAAACTACAATAAATTCTGACAGCACATAAAGTGTTGCCCGTTTTCCTGAAAACTGCTGTTACAACCTTTCTCTTGAGAGGGCCACAGTTTTCCTGTTACAACCTTTCTCTTGAGAGGGCCACTTGAAAAAGAGAACAGAACTTCCACACCTTTAATACATAGATCAACAGAAAAAGAAATTCCGGTAGGTGTCAGCTTGTCCTGCAAGCTACACCTGCTGAACTACCACCCAACTATTGCAGGTACAGGAGCTCCATCTTCCTCTCATAGGATCGCCCTATTGTAAACAGTGATCTGCTGCAATTAATTTGATGACGTTTAGCTGAATAGCATCAAAATAATAGAAAGCCACAATTCTTACTCATTCTTGTGATAAAGGCATCCCAGTGCTTTTCTTGGTTTTTAAAGAATATAGGGAACTAGAGAGCACCAAGGCACATAAGCCTTCTTAACAAGTGACGAGCAACAAATAAGGATGGCCCAGCACATTTTGATGCCCGCCTCGGACAAACGAGAACATGCCACTTGCGCACCGGAGTGAACGCGGGAGGCCCCGTACTCGGCCGGCCTCCCTGGGGTCAGCACTGCCCTATAGCTTCTCTGCCGCCCCCAAGGCACCCACAACCCGTCTGCCTGAAGTGTTTGCTTCACGCCCGGCCACCCGCCTAACCAAAGAGGCTCCTTTGTCCCGAAAAGGCCGCCTTCTCACGCAGGCGCCTCGGGGGTTAAAAAACGCCGGCAGAAGCGGCCGGCCTTCTGGGGCACCGCCTCTCCCGCTTCCCCTCAGCCGGGCGGAGAGCCCGCCTTCCCGCTCTCGTCAGCCACAGCGTCTCCTCCTCCTCCCGATGGGCGGAGAGGGCCACGGAGGCAGGAAGCAACCATGGCGGAATGGGGCCGAGGTGAGGAAATCCCGCAGGGACCGCTGGAGAGGCGGGTTGGCCTAACGGAGTCGGTGGGAGGGGGAGACCCTTCCTCAGGAGTCGGGGAGGGCGCCGCCGCCGTTGTTTCCTTGGTTTTACTGTCTCGCTAAGGTTCGCTTCTTCCTGGCCGTGGGAAAAGGAGCACAGAGGGGGAGAAAGGGTCGTTTTCGACCTTTTACCGGTATAACATTGCTCGCTTTTTCTCTTTGTCGGGGGCTCTTGCCCAATCTGTATCATCCTGGCGCTCAAAACACTGAAATAAAACGAAGTGACAGGGTTTCCCCCTCAGATGGGTCATTTTGTGGGTCTGGAGAGGGGTGAAATTCCTGCCTGTCAGATGGTTACGAGAGGTACCCCAGCCGGAGGCAGAAGGGATGGGGACGCCAGGTCTCCCATTTCCCTCACCCTCCTCTTCCAGGACCTGACTTAGGAGTGCTGTGTTACCTCAGAGAACATGAGATGGTGATGGAGTTCACTGTTTATGAAGCGGAGTAGTATGTTCTCACAGCATGGTGAGTGGGGACCTCCTCTTTTCCCCAGGGCACTGGATGGGATCCCACTCTGGTATGACACCACCATGCCCCTCGGCAGTTGCAGGAGATGGCTGGTACCCGGTGGCTGTGGAAAATGTCTGGGAACAAGATTAAGGATGTTCTTCAGAGTAACCCATAAATGTATTTGTCTTCACAGGTAAATACCATTCGAGCTGCTCTTATAACTAGTGAGGCTTTTTGATCTTTGTTTCAGGTCAGAGTGCCAATGCTGTGGATGATATGTTAGATTCAGAAAACAACCGCATGGCAGAAAACCTAGCGACCAAAGTCACTCGGCTAAAATCGGTCTGTATATTGCTTAGACTTGTTGTTTATTCATCACTATATTATTGTGCGGTTGAGTCTTGTGCTATAAGAGGATGCTATGGGAGACTTTTATTGTACATTTCCTGATATTAGAGAAGCAGGAAGAAAATAATGATCCTTCTGTTTGCAGTTTATTTTACTAGTTCTTCTCTTTTGAACAGCTTGCACTGGATATTGACAAAGATGCTGAGGATCAAAATCACTATCTGGATGGCATGGTAAGCAACAATTGGTATTCCATACAGAATTGCAGATGAAGCCCAGTTATTTTATAAGTTGCAGAAGACTTTGTGCATTAATAGTGAGGAGTGTATACAGAATTTTGTGCAGTAAAATTTTATGTGGGATTAGATACCTAGTTCCTAATGTTATTTATTCTTCATTCATAAGTTGCCATGTCATGTATACTTGTGTTCCTTGCTTTGTATGCAGCATATGGAATGATGATTGAGAAATGTTTATTTGTTTTGCTCTTCTGTGTATGCACATTCTAGGAATCTGGGAATTATGGCTTCCCAGCTGGGAATTATGGCTTCCCAGTCAAGTAGCAAAATGCATGCATGTACTATTGCGGTATGTGATGAGAGAATTATATTCTATTCTCTATGTCCATAGTGCTTTGTTGTAAAATCTAGATCCAAACTTCTGTTTAACCATAGAACTTACCAGTGAAATTAAATCAAGTTATTTTTTCCTCACTGCATTACAGTGGTGCCCCGCATAGCGACGATAATCCGTGCAGCAAAAATCGTCGCTATACGGATTCGTCGCTATGCGAAAAAAAGCCCATAGGAATGCATTAAAACCCGTTTCATGCGTTCCTATGGGCAAAAAACTCACCTTAAAGTGAAAATCCTCTATACGGCGGCCATTTTCGCGGTAAGCGAGGAATGGGCACAAAAGCACAGCGGGCGGCCATTTTTTTTACCCAGTGGCCATTTTGGAACCACCGATCAGCTGTTCTAAAAACATCGCCATGTGAAAATCGGTAAGTGAAACAGCTTACCGATCATCGCAAAGCAATTTTTTACCATTTAAAACATCGTTATGTGTTCGCAAAAACGATAGCAAAAAAATCATCGCTATGCAGATTCGTTGTTAAACGAAGCACTCGTTAAGCGGGGCACCACTGTAGTTTGAAGATAAATAAGATTAGAATGTGGATAATAAAAATTGCTATATTGTTGTTAATATAAAATTCTGAATTTTGCACCTGTATATATTCTGGAATTCATGTGCATGTTCATGTTTTTGATAGGATTTACCCTTCAGATATTTAATAGCATTAATTAGAATGTGGGCTGATTGATTTTATTTTTATTTTTGGTATCAGAAACAGTTAGGTTTCTCTAACATGGAATATTTTAGAGATAATTTATAATTTTCTTTGATTTCTGAGCATGTTTCAACTAGCAGTGGCCCAAATCCTATTACTTAATGTACGCTGGCATAAGTGAAATGGTACAGCAGTGAATTACTGTTATTTAGGAAGTCGCATGACTTTGTGCACAATGAAGAATACAAGTGTTGGCTTCTTAACTACAGTGGTGCCTCGCATTACGATGTTAATTCGTTCCAGTGAAATCACTGTAGAATGAAAACATCATAAAGCGAAATTAAAAAGCCCATGGAAACGCATTAAAACCCGATTAATGCATTCCTATGGGCTTGAAACTCACCGTCCAGCGCGGCCATTTTCGCTGCCTGTGTAGCGAGGAATCCGTCCCAGAAAAGAGCAGGGAGCCTTTTTTTTATCCGGCGGCTATTTTGAAACCGCTGATCAGCTGGCCGAAAATCGTCGTTTTGCGAGAATCGGTTCCCGAAGCAAGGAACAGATCATCGCAAAGCGAAATTCCCCCATAGGAAACATCGTTTTGCGATCACAAAATCTTCGTCGTAATGCGATTTCGTTTTTAAACGGGGTGCTCGTCTTGCGGGGCACCACTGTAGATGCAATTTGCTACTGCTAGCTATGCTGTTTGCCTTATGTTTTTATATGGTATGTAAGTAATAGGATTCTGGCCAAAGTCTTTTACATAACTTTTTTTTTATTTGCCTTAGGATTCTGATTTCATGAGTGTAACTGGCCTTCTGACAGGGAGTGTCAAGCGTTTCTCCACTATGACCCGTTCAGGAAGGGACAATCGCAGGCTTCTTTGTTATGTCTCTGCTGGACTGGTGGCTGTCTTCTTCATCCTCTATTACTTGGTGACAAGATCACGGACCTGAGAGGCATTGCCAACATTTGTGCTGATTGCCTGTTGAAGGGAAATAACCTGATAATAGAGGAAAAGGCCTCCGGAAGACTTCCAGCTGTGTATCCTCTGAAGGATTTTTCAAATTACAGGATGATCCAGAGGCTCCTCTATATACTCCAGTGTTCTCTCTACGTTATTTCCTTACATTAAAAAGGATGTTGTTCTTTCTGTCATTCTCCCTCCAAAAGCATAAATACAGCACAATTCATTTCCTTGTTGAAATAAAGCCTTTGTAAATTACATTATTCTCTGCTGTGCAGGATGAGAAGCGGGCTAGTGATACCACATTCTGAAGTTTTATGGTTAAACGAGATCCTGACACCTGTATCATAGATGTTCCAGTGTACAAGTAAAAGGAAGAAAATGTTGCTTGCCGGAATATATTAGCAGAATGCATGCATCTCCTGAGAGCTAGTCTATTACATGGACATTTTTTTCCAAGCAAAATTGCTAATTTAATTTCTACTTTGGAAACACCAGCAGCTCAATAATAAACTAACATTCCTTTCTGCTTGTTACTCTCAAGGACTTGATAAATGGAACAGCAGTGTGCTCAGAATACTCTGAATGGAAGAAAGAATGAGAATGTGCACAGATGACATGATCTCTTATGCATTTTCCTTCCTAATCTAGTCAGCCTATGGCTTTGATTTGTGTTTGTCTCTGTTTATAACAATGCTTGTAAGATGTTAAAAGTGTCTTCACATTTAAAATTGTGTGCAAAACAATCTTTTTTCTAAGCGTATTTCATAGACCATTGAATCAAGCTTAAAACTGCTATCTTATACTGTACACCCTTTCCTAAGAATAGGTTCCATTGGAACAAATGAAACATGTCTGAGTAGGCATGCATATTGTACTATAACTCTTCTGCAATTGGCTGCTTATATTAACCTTCCCCTGGGATATGAGATTTTTTTTAAAAACTTCAGTTGTGATGCCTGAATTGCCAACGAAGCATTAAAAGCATGGAGCTGACATGTATACTTAACAGTGGCATTGTATGTCTGTCTAGTCAGAAGTAAGTCCAGTTGAGTTCAGTTGTACTTCTGGGCAATTGTCTACTTCAGTTTGTCATCAGCTGGTCCACTGTGAAAAGTTAAATGTAAGGAAGAAAGCATTGGTCCATTCTAACTGTTGGTCCAATGATGATTTTTACATTTAGTAACCTAACTAGGGCAATGATGAATGTCCTGCCTTGAGTGACTCTCTCCTTTTCTTTTTCAATTACTCCTTTACACCTTACCACAGCAATAGTATCTTCATCTTGTTTAATTTAAAAAGGATATTTAAAAAGGTTTTTAAGTTTTTACTCTAGGTCCAAAGGACACATTTTGCAATAAAGTAGAATAGATAGCTTCTAAAGCCTTTTTTAGTTGTTTGGAGACTGTTGTCTTAAAAAGCAAGTATTTGCTTGGATGAGTACAAGCGGATTAAATAAAATAATGGAAACCGCTTATATAGCAGCTATTTACAGTGTGAGAAATGGGGTTCTCCCTACTAGATAAATTTTTGACCTTTCTCTAGAATAAATCAGGTTACAAAACAGGCAATTCATATTATTATTTAAATAATAATAATAATCTTTGTGTGCCATCAAGTCAATTCTGACTTGCGGCGACTCTTTTCAGGGTTTTCTGGGTAGACAATACACAGAAGTGGTTTGCCATTCCCTTCTTCTGGGGGCCGCTCTGGTACTGTGCAGTTTGTCCATGGCTCCACAGGTTGGCTCTACTTGCAAATGGCACAATGGGGAACTGAAATGCCAATCTCTGGCTTCCTAAACCACTGAGCTATCCAGCCAGTTTATTATTTTTTTGCATTCATTTTTATAGCAATCCTTATGAAGACTTCTGCACAACTTCAGAACTAGGGACTTGAGTACAGATGGAAGATTTCTTACCATGTGTATATTTAAGAAAGATGTGCCACACTTGCAAAAGGAACCTGCAGTTATGGATATGTCTATATTATATATTTGCTTGCAAATGTAAATTTGTCTTCTTTGCAGCGTGTCCTTAAGTATGCACCTGATAATAGTGTAGAAATGGTTCTGAGAATGCTAGGAAGCTATGCAAATTTTAGTGCAGGTAAATTATTAAAAGATGGACAACATTTTAACATTTTGGTGACAAAGTATTCTTCAGCTGGCTCCAGAACCATATAAACTTTATGGAATGGGAAGTGTAGTTATTCGAAGCTAGGCATGTAACAACCAAAGAGAAGGCATTTTCTGCAGTAAGTCCCTGATTGTGGAAGGACCTTTCTAAACAGGTGCACTTAGCCTCTTATATAACAGTTTTCTGCATTTGGTTAAGGCATTTCTATTTCTCAAACATTTTAATAAGCAAAATTGTACTGCTCGGTGCCATTTTATTGTTAATATTACATTTGTCTATATTTTGGAGTTTTTGATGCATTTTCTGTTCTCTGCAGTCTATTGGATGAAGGGCAGTGATAGAAATGCATTCACTTAATACAGTATTCTTCTATCACACTTATATGCATTATATTTTGCCTGTGCTTGATCATACAGTGGTTACGAACACAAAATACGATAGTTGTAAACTAAAAATATGAATATCCTTAAAATTAGGGTATTTAAAGTACAGTCAAATTAAGGTATTTAAAGTACAGTCAAACAGCAGTTTTGAAATTGAGTTTACACCAGACACTCATTAGGGTTCAAAAGAGTGAAGAAATAAAAATACCTTCAGCCTTTGCACAACTGAACTACAGGGCAGACCTAATGCCAGTGATACTGTATTAGGTCAAGTAAAAAAATAGATCAGTGTAGCAAAACTAGGAGAATGGATTTTTCATGGTTTTGTTCTCTGTATGCTTAGAATCTCTCCCAAAACTGTTCATCTGCCTGGAAAGAAAAATATACCTCTGTCACTTTCCTTTAGTAGGGCTAACATCTTAAATGCTGATGGAGTGGGTTAAACTCCTTTTCCTGCAGCTGTCCCTGTGCAAGTTGCAGGTTCTGTTGCTGTTTTTAAGTTTGTAAAATCATATTGCAAGGCTTGTTCAGAGATACCTTGCACTGCAGAGATTGTGTGTTTGTGTGTGTGTGTGACTACAGTGCTTTAGATGTACTCTGTAGTTTATGTCTGTAAAACATCTCAAGTGATATATCCTTAGTCCAAGATGATAAAGTGTTCTTGGGAAAACCTGACTGTGTCCATCTGAAGGGAATGCAGACGCTGGTGCAGCCTTTTAAAGGGGATTATAGGACCTCTGGAACAGGTTGTTTAGATGTATAGAAATCTAAGTGAAAATTCTGTTTGCACAACTTGGAATAAAACCACTCCAGAAGAGTGGAGGACAGACAGAAGGATCAAAATCTGGGGAATTTATACTTAAGCTCCACATCTATGATGGGCTCACTTTATGGCCTTGAGAAAAATAACGTTGATTTCAGACATCTGTCTTCTTTATGAAGGTGAATGTGATACAGTGGGGTCTTGACTTAAGAACGGCTTGAGTTAAGAACATTTTGACTTAAGAACCACTCTCATAGGAAAATATTGACTTGACTTAGATTTGAGTTAAGAACTGAAAAAAAACCACGTGGGAGGCAGGGAAAGTGCAAAATTTGAACTTTCAATTAACTGTTGGCCAGTGAAAAGGGTGCCTGTCTGCTTCCTCCCTCCTCCCAGCATTTAGAGAGGGGATTGGGAGACAGTCTTCAGACTGCCTGGACTGTATTTTCCCTACCTTCCCCGAACCTTTCTTGACCTAAGAAAAAAAGAAATAAAATATCCCCCTCTAGTGGTCGAAGGCGGAATAGCAGCTTCCCATTAGTTTCTATGGACGGAAAAGAGCAGATATGGATCAAATGGTTCTCAATGCATTCCTATGGGAAATGCAGATTTGACCTGCGAACTTTTTGACTTGAGAACCGCCTTCCAATACGGATTAAGTTCTCAAGTCAAGACCCCACTGTATTATTGTTGCACAAGAGAGTAGCAAGAGATTGTGCAATAGCAAATCAGGATTCCATAAGGCATTTTTTTTACTTTTAATCTTTATTACATTTTAAAAAAATACATAAAATAAGTAAATAATTATCACAATATTAGCACATAACCAAAATAACTTATCTCTTTCGCAAAACAGTAACATTTTTACTTCCTTATTTTCCACTGGACGTATATTTTCTTCGCAATCTTAATAAGGCCTTTCTTAATTCTTATGTCCATATTAATCTGCTTTACTTTGTTTTTACTTCTGCCAATGATGAGAGCAATTCTGCGTATAATTTAAGCCTAAATCACATGATATAGGTTTGGAATCTTTCTTCCATTTCTCTCTAAGATAACTCTTTACTTTCCCCCCATTGAGATTCATGCTCCATTCTACTCTTTCCTTTCAATGAGTCTATTAGTTTGTCCATTACTTTTAATTCCTGTGATTTTATTAAACAATCCTCCACCAAAGGTTCCTTCCTTGTCTTTCCATTGTTTTGCCACTTGAATTATGGCTGCGCCTAATATGTATAAACAAATTTTTATCTCTTGTCTCAAGTTTAACTTTACCATATTGAACATATTTTTAAATCTATGGTGATTATTTTTTCTATATCTTTCCAAAATTTCCTAATAAATTTTCATCTACGCCACATATGATATAGTGTTCCTTTTATTGTTTTACACCACCAACATTTATCTTTCTCATAGCATTCCATAAGGCAATTCTAAAAACGTGGGCACCCCAAACAAATTATAATTTTGAAAGTGGATCATGGATCAGCATCATATTTTGCACAGTGGTAGCAGACTGCATGCTCTTGTTCTGTGACAAATCTGAAGATGCTTGGGCAAACAGCTTTTGAACTATGCTTTTTTAAAAAGTAAAACTGTGAGGGGGCCCCCATACAGATACTGGTAACCTTTTTTTTTGTCTGCAGATTTAAAGCACATCAAATACATTGAAAAGGCCAAACTTACCTTGAAAGAGAATGGTTTCTCACAGCTGCTTTTTTTTTAATTTGGAAGGAATCTAAGCTTCCAGCAAGAGGTTAAACTGAATCTGAGAAAAGTGGTTCACATTTGCTGAAAAACAGCACTGACAATTGCTTTGTGTGAGAAGTGGTTAACTGATAAAAAAGGAGTCAGCTTCTGGGATTTCCCCTTGTGTAGTGTCACTTTATGAAGGGTGATTTTACAAAGAGTGAGCGCAAGAGGATATCTTGTAGACCATCTTGACTGCTATCGTTGGTGCTGTTAACATTCAAGCTATGCTTTGTTATGTAAAGTTTGGTATCCTTTTTCCTGCTGGCAACACTGGCATAATATTGTGCAACAATACTGGGCCATTTCCCGGCTTTTTGAATCATTGAATCATGGGTACAGAAGCTCAATACCTCACATTCATAAACCAGAGGATTTTTAAAGAATAACACTTAGAGGATGACAAGCAAAAGAACTGAGGAGATCCTGGGCTAATTGCAGACATTAATCTCCCTTAGAGTAGACTTTTGAATAAATGGGGCTTGTTAAAGCAGCATTCTTATTGGCTCAAGGGTCTTCTCCATGAAGACTTAAAACTGAAGTTAACTTTTGTTTCAATGTCAGTGGTGGCTGTTGCTACTGTGACGATTCAGCTATACTAATAGGAAGGTGGTGCCTTACTCAGCTGCAATATATAGTTTTATCATATTGCTATTTCTGTGAAAATATGTCTATTTTTTATTTTGGATCTATTTATTACAATTTGTATAGTGTTTTTTCTAAGTTTTATTAGAAACTTACCACATCAAATAAATATTTATTTCCTGATTTATTTCTCTCAAAGCACATTACATATATGAAAACAACAAAAGGAATATACAAAATAGATACATGCAAGAAAACAACGTATCAAATCCCAACTTCTGAATAACAAAACTATTGTCTGTACACTAGTGTCAGAATTTAAATAGGCATCTAATAGGCACTCCAGGCAAGTGTGCAGTGAATCCTCATCACATGAGGGGACTGGCACATTCCTTCATCAGAGATTAGAACATCTGTCTTGAATAATAACCTGCTTCCAAATACTTGAAATGGTCTGTTGGTGCCCACATTTATGGGCCACTTAAAAATATGGAGAAACATGATAGTTAAAAAGTGGTAGAATAATCAGTTTGATTTCTGTGCAGGGACTTCAGTAGGCATCCACAATCACAGGTGTTGTATAATCAGAGTGTCTGATTCCAAAACTTACAACTGGAGCGCAAGATTTGATCAGTGATACCTAGAAATAGGAAGGGAAATGCATAAGGTAAAATAGCACTCTTCTATTAACTTACTAATACTTCTGTTTTAATTTTTATTTATTTGTTGTTTATTAGCATATGTTTTATTTTGTTGTAAATTGCCCAGGATAGTGTATTGCTCTAATTGTTCAGTAAGTAAGTAAATAAGTAAATAAATAAATAAAATCCACTAATGCTACTCCCTCCTTATTCTTTTTACTGTATTACAAATTTAAATAGAATTAAATGTAGATTGTTTACAGCTGCAGAACTCAGCTGAGGTAATTCTCCTGAGAAATAACATTGAGATGAATAGATAAGAGGAATGTGAATCCTAATGGTAAAAATCTCTCTTTACAGGAAAATGTGAACTTAGGTTTTTTTCTCCTCCAGGAAAACAATTTGGTTTAGCAAGCAGGAAAAAAAAAGTGGACTGAGGAGAAGGAGGTTTGGCCCCCACCAGCCAACAGCCTATATAATTCTTCCCAACATTCTTGCCACTGATGCAAAGGCATTCCAAAATGCTACTGATGAAAGCACATTCCAAAACAGTCTGTTTATAAATAAATGTCCCCCTATGTAGTGACAAGTGATTAGACTGCATTTTGGAGGGCCTACATGGATGTTACTAATTTGCTCTAGGATTCAAAGCTTCCTGAAGGCTAGGAAATCAGCAATGAGTTAATTTCAGAACTTTGCAGAAACGAAGGAATGTAGATTCTGAAACTGAAATTTGTGAAAGTAACTCTGCAGTTGATCCTGGTTTGCAAGGAGTCTCCAGATTTCAGTAAGGTCGGACATCATAGCAAACCCCTGAGTCAACAAAACAGGTATTATTTGGGGGTGCAGGACAAGAGGGGGGACCCCTCATGCTCATTCCTTTTTCCCAGTTCAATGAACCATGCCTTTTTCTCTCTTTTTTGGACCAATATGAGCCTTGGGAATCAGGCCTACGTTTCTGAGGATTATCTGCATGGGCAACAAGAAGCATGTTCCTAAATACTTGATACTGGATTCGTTAAAAAGAAGGACATTATTGCTAATCTATATTTTATCTGCTTCTCACTTTTCTTCCAGGAGGAGAAATATAATATTCCTCTCACATCACCTCTTCTTTATCTCCTGGCAAACTACAGAAGCAATTGCCAGGACATTAATGTGTGTCGATAAATAATATAGAAAACAATGGAAAATTGAAGGAACTGGTTCTCACCTTTCCTACTATATAGTCTGCGGGCCCAGGTCTTTTTTCTTTTTGTAGAGCCTTACTTTGGGTGCCCATGGAATACTTGGGTGCCCTCTTCTTATAAACCTCTGTAGGTGGCTTCTGATATGCTGCAGGACCTGGTGTCTGTAAGAGAGAGAATCAAGAGAATAGCACAGAATAAGCAATGCATAGAAATTCCCAGGAAAGTTGACCATTTTATTCTGTTGCACTGAACTGTGTCACATACAGTTTTGTTTAATAGTAACGCCTTCTTTATCCTCATTCTGTTCAACTGGCTATTTTCAAACCTTTTCAGATTTCTTGTCAATTCCAAATTGCTTCCTGAAAAATGGAAACTGATGCATGTCTAATCACAAAGTCACCGGTAAATCCGTGAAGGGGTTGCATTGTTAGAGTAGAATCATATATCTCAGGTGGATGGTGCCAGGATGCTCTAGACCCTTAAATTCTGGTAATGCATGCCATTTCTCTCCAACTGGAGACTGCCCTACATTCCACTTTTACCGTCTACACCAGTGGTTCCCAACCTTACATAACCCATGTTCTTGGGCTGCAATTCCCGGAAGCCTTCATGACCAGCTGTGCTGACTGGGGTTTCTAGGAGTTGCAGTCCAAGAACATCTGGATTATCCAAGGTTGGGGACCATTGCTCTACACCAATGACAACTGGGGACTTCAATTTCAAAGCTTCAGTGAATCCTTTTTGGGGTTTTAGTCTGTTCTTGGCAGGATTTAAACCACTGGTTCTTAACCTTGGGTGACCATTGCTCTACACCAATGACAACTGGGGACTTCAATTTCAAAGCTTCAGTGAATCCTTTTTGGAGTTTTAGTCTGTTCTTGGCAGAATTTAAACTACGTATTTTGAAGATAGGAATCAGCACCTTGGATAGCTCCTGGAAGTGCAGACAATTAATCAGAGTGGATTCACAGTAGCCCTAAAAATTAGAATCTGTCAGGGTTTGTTCCTTTAAGTGAACAAGGGGTTACATTTAATATTGTAGTAGAGAATGCAAAGTCATTCCTGTAACGTCAAGCCAATGGATGACTGATAGCATACAGATGGAACAAGCTTAGGTAATGCTTGTTAAACATGTTCAGCTGCCATGTGTGCAGTGACAAGCTGCTTTTAGCATAAAAACAAGTGTATGAGAGCACCATTTTGCCACTCAGTTGTGAGTCTGGTGGTCATTTGCTTTACTTTAATGTGAATATAGTGTTGCTCTGAGAAGTCTATGCCAGTGTATATGTTGCCATGTATTTATGTCTAACCAAGCCTAATATGATATAAGTTGTATCAGAACTCTCTCCATGCATTTTCTTCTGCCTGTGTCTTTACTCTGCTAATGAAGGGGAGGATTTGAAGGAGCTAGATAAGAGGCTCTGTGTAACTTGTTGTCTTAAGCTCCAAGGTTTGTTTTTCCCAAACAGAGTGCTCTTACAAGCTTCATATCCAATCTGACTCCAAGCTTTTGGAGAGGCAATAGCCATATAAAGCCTCTGGAGTTGGCCCCACACGAACAGAATCACCATCCACCACAGCTCCACAGAATGTTCACTGATGTTTCTAAGAAGAATGAACTAATTCTAGAATAGCGTTGAGTGACTTATGGTCCTTCAGATGTTGCTGAGCTGCAACTTCCAGTCCTTATCATAAGTTATGCTGGGCATGGCTGATGAGAGACTAACAGCCTCAGGAGGAATGGACACTGCCTACCTCTGTTCCAGATATTTTTCTTGTCAGGTTCTATCCAGTTGTCCACATTATGATGGATAATAATGCCAGAAAATATCCAATAGGATATTCTTTCACTCCAAATAAAGTTTTGTTGGAGTTTATGATGCCTCAGATGTCAAGTTTAACTTTAACATGTTTTTTTTTCATTAGTGCTGTTTGATTCCCAGGATATTCTGCCATTCTGCGTAGTCATCTGAACAGCTCATGCTACTGCATATACCTACTCAGGCTTGAGTTACATAGATTGGGCCTTATGTGTTGGTAAGTGGTGAAGGGTGAAAGCCTAAAAGTCATACTGTAACATGTGATTCTGAACAATGAAGTTTTCATACGGTGAATATGGTATGTTGTAGAGATTCATGCTGTGGGAATGAATTCAGATTACACACCACTGTCCAACTTCACTCTCCCTCCGAAAAAAGTCCTTGCAGATCCTCACGAATTGCTTTTCTCAGTTTTGTTGGGTCTAGAAACCTTGTTCCAGGAGACCTATGTTTTCTTCTCTCTTTTGTCTGTCCAAAAAACTGCAAGGGTACTGCATTGTATGACTGCGCCTTCTTAGGAATGTGAACATCTCTTGATGTTGTTGCACTTCTTCCAATATTACTGGCTCTCCTCATTTTGTACATTATTCCAAAGCTGTTTTTCACATAGAAATTGGTATGCATTTTGATATACATATTTCCTAATGTATACATTTGTCTTTTGCAGTTTGTACACATTTCCCCCATTAACTGAAATGTCCTTATGTATATCTTTCAAACATATAGCCCATACGTTCTGCACATTAATTTTTTGTGTTATTTGAAAAGAAAAATGGTGTGGTTTCTTTCCAATGACAGGAAACTGAAGGATATATACAAAGTCTCATTAATGGTTTCATACACCGTAAACTGGACTATTGTATTAATAAAAATGTCTTCTCAATGCCTTCACTTTCCTACTTTTTGTGTTTTGTGCCACAAATATCTGTTTGCGAGGAGCTTAAAGGGATTCAACCCAACTCCTGCTGGACTTCAGACAATTGGGTCGGCCTTGCTCTGCCAGCAACTTAGTGGGGGTACTGTTGTATTTTATGTGCACTGGGCCAATGTTTCTATAATTATGATTTCATGAACTCCCTCTGTTTGGACAGCATGTGGACACTGCCGCCAGCACAGTCCTCAGTTATAGTGGGTCCTGATTAGCACTTTTAGAGACACTGTGGGCAGCCTGCTATTTTTATGTTATGCTTGTACTTTCCATGAGGTTGTTTGTCTATTCCTGTCTCAGGCTGTGCAAATACTGAGTACAGAAGATGTTCCCCTGGCTTACTTAGTTGCATATCTCTGGACCAGCTGCTGTAATGCAAGTGCTCCTTCAGTACTTCTTATTTTCCTTCCTCCTTCCCATACGTGTCATGTTACCTTTATCAGAACAGGCCTTTTTTAACCACTGATCACCAACAGAGCAGTAAGACATGAGATGAGTCAACACTCAGCCTACCTTATGAAGATCTTCATGAAAACATCCAAGTTTACTCTTCCTTGCCATGGAGTACGAAGGGCTGGCAGTGGTGGCCACTGTGTGTGGTCCGAGCACCTCAGGGATCATGTAAGTGTTAGGCCCTAAGAGGAGGAAGCATAGAAACTGTGAAGCCCAGCAGAGGCTTTCAACATGGCCAGTGAAGGAGCCACATATTATCTGGAGTCCAAAATGCTGCTTTGGGTGTACTTGAGGGTATCGGAAGACCACGGGCAAAATTTGACTATTTCCTTGCCACCATTTCAGCTCAGAATTCAGCAGTGTTAATTCTGTAATGTAAGCAGGTGATCCCTTCCACCGAAAGCAAAGCAATAAGACAAATCCTAGAGCTTGGAAGTAATTACAGTAGGATCATGGTATCCACAGTGGATCAGTTCCACCCGCTGCCCTCCCCTCTAAGGTGCTGAAAAACACAGAAGTACCTGACACTATACATTGCACGGTCTCTGTCCCTCTAGTGGCCAGTTCTGGTAAATGCAACCTGGAAATATATATATATACGTACTGTACCGTAAATACATATTTCTGGGGTTTTTCGTTTAGTATTTTCAGGCAGTGGATAAGTGAATCAGTGGATACTGATCCCACAGATACTGATCCTGCGGTCCTACTGTAGTTATAAATAAATAGGCTATATTAGGCTGTTTTCTCAATAATGAAGGCAATGTATTCGTGAAGGCTTTCACGGCCGGGATCTAATGGTTGTTATGGGTTTTTCGGGCTCTTTGGCCGTGTTCTGAAGGTGGTTCTTCCTAACATTTCACCAGTCTCTGGCCGGCATCTTCAGAGGACAGCACTCTGTGTTCACTCCATCCACATGGAGCTGTCCTCTGAAGATGCTGTCCACAGAGAATGGCGAAACGTTAGAAAGAACAACCTTCAGAACACGGCCAAAGAACCCAAAAAACCCCCAACCAATGAAGGCAATGTTTGGTTTCATAAGGATTGTAATTTGGGAAGGGATATTGTCACTCTGTTTGCAGTGCTAAGTGTAACTCTTTGATTAAACTTGATAGTTACAGGAATATAATGTAACTAAAAGATGGAAAAGAAAGATATGCTTCACATGCTGATTTGTATTGTGTCTCATTCATCTATACACTCTGTTGCTGGAGCTGAGGCAAAAGCAGGGAGGAGAAAGAAGGGTTTATTTTGTTTCACTGTTTCTTTTGTTAAAAGTAACTAGAAGTAACTATTTTAATCCCTTTGAGAAGCAGAAAAGTAAAGAATTATATTTAAAATGTGTGTTTATAGCAAGAATGAGACTTGTGTAACCACAAAACTTAAACCGTGATTATTTATCTATTTATTAATTTCTTTGGAAAAAAACTTTCCAAGCTCCAGAAAAAAAAACACCTAAAGAAGAAGTCTTACCTGGTGTGTTATCTACTTTGGCGCCATGGGTCCTGAATGCCATGGAATGCACAGGTGCAGATTTATAAATAATTTTTCGAGATTTCTCTGGAGAGTAGGAGGCTAGGGAAAAGAGAAAGCAGCCATCACAGTCAGATTACAGAAACAATTGCATTTAATTTAAACTGCAAGACCCTGAAGCCATGGCATTTCATTACAGAGACATCCTTTCTCTCCTGTTCCCTGCTTTACATTGCCCAGCCAGAGTAAGGACTTGGAAAAGTAGCCTGTTTTTAAGATGTTAAACAGTCAAATGAAGATATTACTCACTCTTATTTTTTGGTTTTATACACACAGCTCTTTACTTTCTTGTGCCAAATTATATTAAAGGCCACCTATCATTCTGCCAGACAACTGGTATTCCCTAAAATCTTTCAAGACTGTGAAAATTCTGTATTTCAGAAAGTTCAGGTTGTATAAATGGAAAATAAACCCTCCCAAAACCCTGATGAAGGTCTATAAATTAGGTTATGGGATAAATGTACATTTTATATAGTTTATGCTAACAATAAACAGGAGTGGGATTGCAAGAATATGTAGAAATGTAGTGCAGAGGGAAAAGCATAGAGAAGTAGGAAAGGGGAGGAAAGTGACGGGGAGGGAGAGAAGGAGGCACATGGAGAGGGGGATTAGAGGGAAAAAAGGACCAAGGTACATGTGATCTGGCAGGGAATGGTGTGGGAGTCCATGGAGGTGTAAGCAAGTGGCAGATGTAGTCCTGAACCTTAAATGTATTTATTATTTTAATGCAAGGCTGTGTGTGGTTCTCCCAATTTGATCTGTAGGTCAGTTAGGTTTCCAAATGTACTGTATCTCAATTCAGCGTGAAGTAATTTGGGACCCATTCAGTTTGGGTTGTGCCTTGCATCCAGTCTATAAATTCATAAAAGCAATGCACTGGAAAACCAAAACAGCCCTAACTTTTCCTTCAAATTCAGGGACATGATAAGCCCTAAAAAGGGGAATAAACCTACCTAATTTTAGGGAGCTGCATACTACATACTTTTACTCCATCTCATCTGATTTCTGCCCTGGACACAAATTAACTGGTAAATCCAGATTGCTTCATTGGCGAACAAAATCTGGCTACTCTGCTTTGCTTTGGACCTCATACAAAGTGTTCCAAGTCAGCTGAGGTTTGGAATTTCTGATTTGTCCAACTCCATTGGGCAGCCATACACAGATGGAAGCACTGTGTTGTAGTGATGAACAATATGTGCAGAAATTATGGTAATATTGTCGGAGTTTTTGCAACCTCTCATGCTTCCTTTAGTCATTTTGGCTGGAAGGTACCTTTCTGGGCTGGAGTGACAATCAATCTATCCAGCACTAACCAACCGTTCCTTCCTGGCCTCTGAATCCCACCTCTCTGCTCTGTTTCCCTTTTCCTCTCTTTTGTTTGTTGGAGTCAGTCAGCTTGTTGGAAGCAGTGTGTCTGTCGAGGCCTTTGCTGAAAGTCAGCCAGCTATGTTGGTCAGTTTGCTGTTTCATCTGCTCTCTTGTAAGTAATGGGACTTTGTCTTCTTTCTCCTACCAATGTCTCAGAGTGAATCTCTTGCACTTCTGCCACACAGCTAGAGGAGCTTAATCAGAAATTGAAAACCCTGAAACACATGTATCACTATGTAGTTTCTGGTACCTTCTTCCTGGAAAAATACCCTATGCCCACTCTTGCAAGCATGGAAGTTCTCCTCCAGAAAGATAAAAATGTTGTCCTTTGGTTTGTTTGCTTTAGTGCATTTTTCTGCATTTAATTAAAACTAAATATGCCAAAGTATGCCAAAGGAGGCAGGGCATGATTCCTAGTCACATTCTTGTTGGCGAGAATCAGTTTTGCAAGATGGAACAGAAGACAGAATTTAGTTGCTAAGCAACTTGTGTGAGTTCCTTAAATTTAATGAAACAGACCCACTGGGGCTCATTCACAATTCTGCATCTGAACTGCCCTAGGAGGAAATCTATGTGGCTTGCATCTTGAGGAAAGAAGACTACTCACCGGGACCTGGAGTGATCTCCACTCTCACTCTGGGTCGACTGGCCATTGTATAAGCCGGAGCAGATTTCCTTCCTCGATTGGTCATAGAGCTCTGTACAGGGTAAGGACCTGGAGAGCACTCTTTGCTGAGTGGAGGTCTTGAGCCGTGCATACTGTAGGCAGGGGCTTTTCTTTTCGTCGGGATGTGTGAAACATAACCTGGGGGGGGGGGGGGAAATGGATGCATTCCATGCAAATGACATTAGCCTAAGGAACTGTCATCTGAGCCATATCACAAATCAGCACTCAGCATCTTCTCATCTGACCCATGTCCATCTACGAGCTCTCAGACAGAAAGGTTATTCTCAGACTGGTTATGTGAAATCTTTTACCTGAAGAAGTAGGGATTAACTGTGGAATCATCAATATTGAAAACATTTTGGTCTCTAGGGAGAAAGGTTGACATGCCCCCCCATCCCATGTACAAAAGGGATGAGAGGAGGCATGTATAAAAAGATCTCTGAAGGCAAGAGTTGATTTATCCATTTTGTAGATTTGAAGCACAAAATTAAGTGAACCCCACCCATTACAAAGGTTCAAGATCCTATTTTTCATATTTTGCTTAAAGCAAGAATAAGGATCCTTTGGCCTTTCCAGTACGTTGGCCTACAGGTCCCATGTTATTGTATGGCCAGTCACATGGGTTTGTGGCCATTTCATAGTCCAAATATCAGGAGAGCTAACCATTACTCTTCCCTAGGTTAAAACTTGCTATATACTTTACTGGGTGCAGCAAAATCGTGAGCTTTAATCTAAGAAAGGGTAATATTGAATTTGTAGGCTAGCCTATCAGGAGGGCCAAAGGATCCTTAGTCCTGCTTTCAAGTACTGTACATGTTGACTAGCTCTGCTTTTCCAAACCAGAATATGGCCCTGGGAAAACAAAAGAATCACTTTTAGCAAGGGCTGGTTTCTAGTTCTATCATGCATATGACCCTCTGTATTTCTCGCCTGCAGTTCCCAATATTGTCAACCAGAATCTACATTTGGAAAATAAAAAGGCAAACTCAGATCTCCCAAATCACTTACAACTGTATCCTGAAAGTCTCAGGATATTATATTCTGCACCAAACACCAGTTTTATGCTTCCATATGTATCTGACAAACTGGGATCCAGCTCTTTAAAAAGTATCCCATAACATATTTTTTAAGCTCTTGATTGCTTGGGGTTCTTTATTGTGCCTTCTGATTAGTGTAAACCCCATATAGCTTTGATTGTAACCTGTATGATCTGTTATGTCATGTCCTGAATTAATGCTCTGACGAGATGATTTTTAGGAAACCTTTGATCTTTTAAATTTTATTTATTTATTAGTTAAAGGTATACATTAACTTTTTACTAAAATTAGTGCTTAGGTAATGCTAAAAATTAAAATAGTGAACAATAAAACACGGGGGAAATAAAACAAAGTTTCTTAAAGTATTAAAACTCAGTTAAAGCAATTCAGTTCAAACAAAGCAAATAAAATAGGAATGTAAGTCTAAAAATAAGAGATAAATGACAAGTACATCAAACAGAAAGAAAAAATTAAAATCAAAATTTAAAAAGTTCACCAGGAAATCAGTTTATGGTCAGATTATACATTAATGTTTTATTTCCTCCTCTTACAATGTTATCCCCCTCAGAATGCAAATATTTTAGTGTAGTGTTTGAGACAGCAGACATATAAACAAAACTGTACCGTCTCCCATCTGACCAGTTACAAAACAATAGCAAACTAATTTGGCAAATAGAGATTGAGGAAAGCTCATGTTGGAATAAAAGCATATTTCCTTCTTACAGGCACACTGTTTCTAGGGAGGGAATTAGTACAAGTTGAAATCCTGTTGTGCACCTACAATCATAGCCAAAAATATTGGCACCCTTGCAATTCCTTTTTTAATTTTTTTTTATTAAACAAACATCCAACCTAAACAACATAAACCTAACCACAATAAAATACAATTATGTAATACACCAGTGCCACCTTCACCCTCAGGGCTAGCATTAATAATATTTTTAAAATTCATTCAGTCCATTTTCTCTCCAAAACTTAATTGTTTCTTCCCTCGGCATATACCCCTTCCCTCTCTGAAATACATATTCCAAGAATACACTCCATATTTTCTTAAAATCATTGTTTTTTTTGATAGGCCTCTTCTTATTTTCATATCACATGTCAACTTATCATTAATTGCCATATCCCATAATTCTCTACACCATTCCTCTAAATTGAGTTGATTATCATTTTTCCAGTGTCTTGCAAAAATTAACCTTGCTGCCGTAACCATTATTACAATTAAATCCTTATTTTCTTTCAAAAATTGATCTTTCTTAACCATGTTCAATAGTGCCATTGACGGGGACATTTGAATATTTAAGCCAGTTATTTCCCTTATTTCTTTAAAAATTTGCTTCCATTCTTGCTTTCCTATTTCACATAACCACTACATCTATAAATACATCCCCTTCTCTTTTTTACACCTCCAACATAGTGATGATACATTTTTATTTATTATATTCAGTTTTACCGGCATTAAATACCACCTCCATATTGCCTTATAACAATTTCCCTTTATCCTTATAGACATAGTCCTCATAATTCTTTGATCCCACATTTTATCCCATTCTTCTCCTAATACTTCTTTATCCAAATCATGTTGCCACTGTGCTTTTAATTCTTGTTTATCCTGTTTGGCCTGAGTTAATAATTTATATATTTAACTCATAATTCTCTTTCTTTCTCTCTTTTCCTCTAATTTCAGTCTTTTTTCATTAATCTCTTCAAATTTTGTCATTTTTCTACATTTCCCTTCCTTACTTTTCCATTCCCTTGTCCATCTTTCTATTTGAATCATATTAAACGAAAACATTCCCTCTCCCAAAAATCTCTTTTATATTTCCTTTATCTTCTCCATCCAGTCTTTTATCCTACTTATCCCTTTGTCTTTTAATATATTCTTAAAAGTTTTTTAAATATTTTCTGGAGAATTATTTAAATCCACCACCTGGGATAAAGGAAGGACCGGTGGACTCAATATGCCTCTAAACTTTTTCCAATTTTCTAACATATTTTTAAGGAAAGAGTTAGTAAGCCTTTCTGTTGTTTCTATTGGATTTTTGATTATTAATAAGGTGTCATCAGCAAACAAGTTTATCTTACCATTTTCTTTATATTCTCTCCCTACAATCTTTTTATCACCTCTAATTATCTGTGCCAATAATTCTAATCAATGTAAATAGTACTGGAGATAAGGCGTAACCTTGTCTTGTACCTTGGCCTAGGTCAGAGGTTAGGGAACTTTTTTACCTTTTCCCCCCCCCCCCCAAATTTATACATGCCGACATTACCCCCTTGATTTGAAATTCAGGAAATCATTATTTGAGTTAAAAATATTATTGAATCTACACAGGCTGTGTACCGAACTAGCAGGATGCACCAAATTTGATAAAGATGTGCACTATTTTTGCTGGAACACATTGCACTCCAGCCATGGTGTGGTATAGGGAGTAGTAAGGTGTCCAACATGCCAAGCAAGTTGCATTAATTTTTGCTAGCTCGCAGAGGATTTAATCATCA